TGCGCAGAACTAAAAGAATGTTGTATACAATAATAGCAATATTGTTTTAAGAACAACTATGAGCAGGGGCAGCTAGGTGGTACAGTGGATAGAGCACCAGCCCTGGAATCAGGAGGACCTGAGTTCAAATCCAGCCTCAGGCACATAACACTCACTAGCTGTGTGACCCTGGGGAAGTCACTTAACCCCAATTGGCTCACCAAAAAAAAAAAACCAAAAGCAAAAAACTGTGAGCAACTGAGTCATTTTAACTTTTATAAATGCCAAAATTAGCTACAAAGGACATATGAAGGAAGATGCTATCTGCATACAGAGAAAGAATTGATAAATAGATGTACATATAGAATTTTATGTATATATACATATTTGTGCTTAATGGTAGCCATCTGGGGGGAGGTATGAAAAAAAGGAAAAAATTACATAATAACCTTGTTATATATTTAAAGAAATAGTAAGTTGTACATAAGAGATTTGCAATTTCATGTGCAATCATCTGTTTCTATTCTACTGTTATGGAAATGCTTGCTTTATTTCTTAAATTCAGAATAAAATAAAATTATATATAAAATGTTACATATAAAATAAAATGCATTATCTTCTCCAAACCTGTGATCCAGTGACACTGACCCCCCTTGCCATTCCTCCAACACGCCCTCCACAACTCTCAGCATTTCACCAGCTGTCGCTGCTTCCTGGAATGCTCTCCAAGCTTCCTTAGCTCTCTCCAAGTCTTAGATAGAGCCTCACCTTCTGCAAAAAGTCTTTCCCAGTCCTCCTTAATCGTATTGCCTTCCTTCTAAGATTACCCCCAATTCATCTTATTTATACATGTGTTTGCAAGTTGTCTCTCCATTATACTGTATCATACATATATATAGTATGTGTGTGTATGTATATATATATACACATATATATACATATATATGTACATGTACATATATATATGTGTATGTGTGTATGTATATATATATACACATATATATACATATATATGTACATGTACATATATATATGTGTATGTATGTGTGTGTGTATATATATACATATACACACACACACTTTTCCTTGAGAATAGGGAATATTTTTCCCTTTCTTTGTATCCCCAGCATTTAGCTGGGGTATAGTAAATGGTTAATCGATGCCCAGATGACTGGCTGATGAACTAAGCCTCACAATTCTATGGTATAAGTATTTGAGGCACTATTATTCCTATTTTATACGTAAGGAACCAAAGCTCAGTGAACTTCAATGACATTCTCATGGTGACACAGAGGCAGGACTAAAACCCAGGTCTTCTTGACTCGAAGTCCAACACTTTAACCACTTTGAGCTCCCGAAAGACAAAGGAGCTTAAGAGCCAAGCAGCAAATCAATTAAATTTCATCCCCTTTCCCATAGGGAGAAAGCAGTATACTAGCTTCTGGCCAATCCCTTGCAAGCATGAGTAAATACTGCAGCAATCTGAAATCCAGTGTCACTCAACTCCTACGACATTGACCAAACGATTTAAAAATCCATAGAAACAATACAGAGGGGAAAACAAAACCAAAAAAAATCCATTAATTAAAGAAAAATTCCCCCAAAATGATGAAGAAATTCCTCCATATGGGAAAACCAAGGTACAAAACTGCTATAGAGTCAACACCAGAAGAGATTCAAGAAATGCCAAAAGGTAAAATTAATTGCATAATGAACATATCAAATTAAAGGAAAATTCTATTTCAACCATGCAAAACTCTGCTCTCCCTTCCCCCCGCCCCCAAAAAAGGAAAGATATAAAGAAACAACTTGCAAAACCGTAAAGCAACAAAGAATTTGGAATATCAATGAAAGAAAGGAAAAAGCAGAATATATATAGCTACACAAACATCAGCGGGTAATGAGAATCAAACTGAAGAACAAGACCAGAATGTCAGGGGACTCCAGAAACAACGAATGGCACTGTCAGATGAAGTAACAGGCTTGGAAGAGAAATCAGGAGGACAAATTCTTTGCTTTAATGTTTGGATGGAGCAGTGACTTCATTGTTACAGGCACCCCCTAACCAAGGCAGAGCACAACCTCTCTGTGCCTTCTCATCTTGTGTAATTTGTCTCCCTGGCTTTCTATAAAATCATCACAGATGACTAATCCAATGGCCTGAAGTCCTTCCTCTCATTTTTTTTAAATTTATTTTTTGGTAAGGCAATCAAGGTTAAGGGACTTGCCCAGGGTCACACAGCTAGTAAGTTTCACGTGTCTAAGGCCAAATTTGAACTCGGGTCCTCCTGACTCCAGGGCTGGTGCTCTATTCATTGCACCACCTAGCTGCCCTTCCTCTCATTTAAAAAAAAAAATATCTTGGAATTACCAGTGTAGCACTCCAGCTGCATTCTTGCTTACATGATTGACCCACCACCTGTGGTCCCCTGCCCTAGGATAATATCTTTACTACCACATACAAGTCAATATTGGTCCAATGAGATGGCACTTGCAGGGTTGTTGTGAGGATCAAATGAAATAATATTAATAAGGCACTTAGCACAATGCCTGGCACACAGTAGGCGCCATATAAGTGCTTGTTTCTTCCCTCTCTTTGGAAACTTTAAATTGCTGTATAAACATGAGATTCTACTACTATTGTTGGTACTATTTTGCAACTCATTTATACTCAAGCTGACTACCACAGTTTTGGAAATATCATGGAAATTCTGCTTTCTCTTCTCCTACTTCTCTGAGCGCTCCATCTCTATCTCGCTTATCGGATCCTTGCCGAAAAAAAAATTATGAGTAGCAATATTATCAAAGACACCACATTTTGAGAAACTTTGCACCAAAAATAAACAAAAAAAAATGAAGCTGCTCAACACATTATTGTCATTATGCTTATTTTCTATGGTAAATATGCATATTATAAATTTCATTTTATGTGGAAGTTTAGTTTATATGTTAATAAAAGTGTAACAAGTTTAATCAAAATTACCAGGCTCATTGAAAAAAATAAACTGATGCTGTTAAAAAAGTGTTTTCCTAAATGCAGAAGAGCCTGCCCCCTTGTTTTGGACCAACTGTCCTTCAGCTCAGTCTATGGATTAAAATGTGAAATCCTCTGCATACAATAATTCACACATTCATCATATTGCTAATGAAGCTATGGTGCTGAATGAGATTGCTAAGGGAGAGGGGGGAGAGGAGGAAGGAAAAGGGCAATGACAGGTCCTTTGGGAATACTCTTCTGAAAGGGATCAGAAAGAGAAAAAGTTACCAAAGTCCTATTGATAAGCCGTCTGTATCTGAGAGTTCAGTCTTTAGACAAGAAGCATATATAATCCATCACTGGGCCTAAAAAAACTGAAGTCTTTCCAGGTCAGTACAATGTGTGTATTCCGTCAGCATAAGCTTTCAAGAATTCAGGTCACCTTCACATCTTCATGGAATATAGAGGAGTTTGATGAACTTATCGGGGGGGGAACCTCAAGAAAAGACTCATAATTTAATAAATATCCTTGTGAAATTACAATAGCACTATGGCAAAAAAAAAACATACAAAATGTCACTTCATGCTAGATACTATAATAAAGTTTATCTGGATCAAGAAAGTAAATATAAAAAGAAGCATTAAAGAGAAGAAATGAGAATAGTAATTCTTTCACAACTTTGGGGGGCAGACAACTCTTTTTCATTGGGAAAAATAAAAGAAATTATAGGCAATGAGATGATGGAGTTGGTTTCATCACAAAAACTTACATAAGAATGCATTATAACTGAGATAAGAAAAACAACAGATTGAAGGAAAATATGCAAACCAAATATAACAGACAAAAGCATGACATCAAAGGTATACAAAAATGTGATATAAATATTTAAAAGAAACAAAAAATGCATTTCCTAATGGATAAATGATCAAAACATATGAAGAGATAATTTATAAAAAGCATGAAACACAAGTTATTTTTAAAAATCACTTGTGAAATGTTCAGTACTGGTAATCAAAGAAATGTAAATTAAAACAATCCTGAGATGCTACTTCACATCTACCAAATCATCAAAAATAAATAAAACTAGCAAAACTCATGTAACTGTGGAAAAACAGATGCATTTATATATTGCTGGTGGAACTGTAAATTGATAAAATCTTCTCATACAATCATAGAATATCAGAGTCTGAAGGGATCTCAAAGGCTATTTAACCTAACCAGTACCTGAAGTCTAAGTTCCCTTTCGACTCTAAATATATGGTCCTATGGTGGTGTCCTGTAACATTTACAAAACTTTATCATACTATACGTAACCTTTATAAGAACAACTATAAAACAATAGTGCCCAGAATAAATAAAGACCTTAATAATTGGAGAAAGTCTGATAAACAAAATATATAGGGATATGACAAAAATATATAAAATCAAAAATCATTCACCAATAATTAAGTGGTCAAAGAATATCAATAAACAGGTTTCAAAAAAACAAATGCAGACCATTAATAACTATTTGAAAAGTTCACCTAGGGGCAGCTAGGTGGTGCAGTGGATAGAGCACCGGCCTGGAAGTCAGGAGGACCTGAGTTCAAATCCGAACTCTGACCAAACACTTGACAATTACTAGCCATATGACAGGAAGTCATTTAACCCCAATTGCCTAAAAAAAAAAAAAAGTACAGAGAAGAGTAATCGCTTCACAAATGTGCTTAGGAAAACTGGTTAGCAATACGATGGGAAATGGTTTTAGAGGAAACTCAGCCTCATTCAAGCAGAACAAAACACAAAACAAATAAACACGAAAGCAGGGATGAGATGGAGGTAGCTTACTTCATACTCCAATTCAAAAAGTAATTATTAAACACCTACAATTTATTAAGCATTTTGGAGTCTCAGCCAATTTTTTTCATTGGGAAAAATAAAAGAAATTACAGGCAATGAAGTAGATAGAGTTGGTTTCATTACACAAATTTACATGAGAATGTATTTTTACTAAGATAAAAAGAAAAATAACAGATTGAGGGAAAATATTTCCTAGTTACTCACCAAATACCACAGTGAATTCCAGCTGGATAATAGACTGAAGCAGAGAGAGAGAGAGAGAGAGAGAGAGAGAGAGAGAGAGAGAGAGAGAGAGAGAGAGAGAGAGAGAGAGAAACATTAACAAAATTGGAAGAAACTAGAATAATGCTTTTCTTCATTATAGAGTTGCCAATGATTTTGCTTCTACTAAACAGAAGGAAATACCAGGCACAGGACAGATATGCTTGATTACATTAAAATAAAATCTGTATAACCAAAAATAGAAATAAAAACAAAGTAACAAATTGGTGTAAAATATTGTCAGATATGTTAGCTAAAAATTTGACATCTAACATATATAATAAACTGTTAGAATTTTACAAACACCCTCTAGGTCCTCAAGCGTGGCCCTTTGACTGAATCCAAACTTCACAGAACAAATCCCTTTAATAAACAGATTTGTTGGGCAGCTAGGTGGCGCAGTGGATAGAGCACTGGCCCTGAAGTCAGGAGGTCCTGAGCTCAAACCCAACCTCAACACTTACTAGCTGTGTGACCCTGGGCAACTCACTTAAACCCAATTGCCTAAAATAAATAAATAAAAATAAAAGAATTTGTTCTGTAAAACTTGGATTCAGTCAAAAGGCCACAACCAAGAACCTAGAAGGCCATAGGTGGCCTTGAGGCCTTGGTTTCCCCACCCTTGCTGAGGGATAAATTGTCAAGGGACACCAATGAAATATAAATTGGAGATGAGGATGGAGAAGAATGGCATTTATACGGCACTTTAAGGTTTATAAAGCACTTCATATATGTTTACTCATTTGATAATACTCAAAAAAATTACCTCTTTAATAATCAGAGACACTAATTGAAACAATTCTCAGGAGCCACCTTCTACACTCACCGAAATGGCAACAAAAAAAATTAAAACAATTAAACTTGTTGTCTAGGTTGTGGAGAAACAGCTACAAACATTCATTGTCGGTAGAACTGCAAATTAATAAAATATTTTTGGAAAGCAAAAATCCGGCACTATGAAATAAAAGTCACACACACACACACACACACACACACACACGTACTCCAATTCTATTATTAAAAACAAATGTGAAGTAGATGCTATTACTCCCATTTTACAGATTAAGGAAACTGAGACCATGCTCACAGTCACACAGCCTAGGAAGTATCTGAAGCAGTATTTGACCTCATAGCTTCCTGACTACACGACTAGCACTCTGTCCACTGCACCCTAGCCGCCTAGCACAGCACTAAAAGTCAAAGACTCACAAGCTTCGGCCTCAACAGTCATAATTTCCCTATTGTGACTCCCCCATATGCTACCAGAATATCTGGCTACCACCCAACACTGGAGAAGAATTATTTCATTCTTCACCAAAGCAGTCCATCATCCTTATGTCCCTCCCACCAGAATCTTGGACCTTGTCCCTAGGAAGCCAGGGTCTGATAGGTAAGCTTTTGCCTGATTGCGTCTTGAACCAGGCTTCTATGCCGCTTTGTGGCCATCTCCACTTCATGCTATCTCACGCATACCCCTCCTCTTCTAGCTCCCTTTTAGCTTCCCCCACTATAAGATAAGCTCCTTGAGGCAGAGACTGCCTTAACTCCTTGTATTTGTAAATATTTCTTAAGTATCTGTAAAATAGAGATAATAACAGCACTTACCTCCCAGGACTGTGGCGAGGATCAAATGAGATATTCATAAAGTGCTTAGCATGTGCTTGGCACACAGTAGGCACTATGTAAATGCTAGCTCTTATTTTTATTTTTAATAAATCTATGCTGCCTACACGACCCTAGGCAAAGCCCTTAGCATCTCAGTGCCCCAGGCAATTCTCAAGACTTCTAAATTGAAGAACAGGAGTCCATCTGATCAGAATCGGAAGTTCCCTCTGCCAATGAAATCACAGGCCTGCTCTGCTCCTCCTCCCCACCTCCCCCCAAAAAAAGTCTAACTCTATATAAATGATACTGCTATTACAGATAAGGAAATTATGGATAAAAAAAATGATATTTATACAAAGCCACAGGACCAGGACTTGCAACCTAGGTTTTCTTGGTGCTAAGTCCAGTGCTCTGACCACTGGACTACTAAGGCTTCCTTTTGCTACACCGGTTGTAGCAAGTGGGCTTTCAGTGGGAAGATGGTGCCAGTGGCATAGGCTGGAGAGAATTTCTCAAGTTTCTGGGTGAAACCTTGAACTAATAGAAGTGAGCTAGCCCTTTGTAAAGCCCGGGTCTGTGGTGACATGCATTTTCATTACCGCTTCCTGTGCCTTTAAAACTGCAGAGGGAATCTGGACATCTGGACAATGGGTGTGGTCTCCCAGTAAAGCTCCGTAAGAGCTTTATTTTTCCCCGGGCCTGGGAAAGCAGAAGTTCGTTTCAGGCCAATCATTCAACTTCAGAGAGATAAAAGGAAGTTTTTCAGTGAACTAGAAATATCAAACTTAGAAGGAGAAATTCAAGAAAGAAAATGAGTCCCCTACAATGGAGCTTGAAGCAGTCCCGGGCATTGGCAGGTGTCAGTTCTCTGCCCCTCCCAACCCCTCCATTCAGTGCTCATGATAGTAAATCCCAAGTCTCCCCCCATCAAGCTCCCCAGGGAGGCATTGTGTAACATCCTATGGCAGAGAAAGCATCGATGCCTGGAACTCCTCACATGACCGGCTGATGCACGAACAGCTGGATTTGATCACCAGAAGGCCCGTCAGTTGGAGCAAACAAGCATTCTTCCCTGTGTTTTCCCAAGGCTTGCTGCCACAGGAACCAACTTCATTTGCTGTGCCCCCCACAGACTCCAACTCTTTATTCTGTGCTTTCAAGTCACAGCATCATTCCACCACAGCTTCCCCAAAGTTTCTCGGGTGATTATTTTATTCCTCTGTTTCCCACCCCACCCCCTTCCCCAGTGATTTGGTGGCATCATGACGGCTCAAGCCAGACCCTTCTTAGTGCTCTGCCTTATGAGTTTTCTTCTTCAGCCACAAGATGCCCAAGACCCAGAAGTGGTCCAATACATCTTCCGACGCTTTCAGATGTTAGAGGTAGGTATATTGGAATGGCCATAGAAATATGTCGTTCCTTTGCAAACTTCTGCATTTTCACTTGTATTTAAAAAGAAAAAAACACATGCCTTATTTTTCTCCTGTTCTTACTGTGACCGTCTTGACAATGAAGCATGTTTCTGAAAAAGCAGGTGCTATTGTTTAAGAGAATATATATTTGTGAGTATGTGCAGAGGGAGAGAAAGAGAAAGAGGAGGAAAGACAGAGACAAGAGACTTAGCCTTGAACTCTGGAAGACATGGATTCAGGTCCTCCTTCTAACACATACTGGTGATGTGACCCTGGGCAAGTCATGTAACGTCTCAGTATTCCAGTAATTTTTCAAGACTAGATGTTACGGATGAGTTTCTGGCCTGCCCTGGTAAAGGAAGTTTCAGTCCCTCTTTGTGTACGTGTTTATTATATTTATTTCTGTATTTTTTGTCCATATCTTTGGTTTCATTGGTAAGGGGAATTCCAGTGAGAAACCCCTTCTAAGAGTTAAATTACATGCAATTTACAGTCTCAGAGAGTCTCCTGGGACACTGTGTGACTTATATGGGCTCACCCTGCTGGTAACATGTCAAGAACAAGCTTGAACACTCATCTTCCTGACTTCAAGCCCAGCTCTCTATCAACTATATTATATCACCTAAGACAATGTGGAGATAGAAAAGTAATATCATTTTTAATCATGCAACCCTCTCAAACTGACAGTTTCTTCTGGTAATTTGTTAGATCATCACCAAAATAAATGAAGAAAAATAAGTTAGAAACTTAATTCTGGGTTTGTTTTTTTTCTCTTTCAAGCTGAACCCAATTTTTTTTTAAATGAAGTAGTCCACAATTTATGCTAAACACAGTTAATTAAGAATAAAAGAAAGAGTGTGTGATCCTGTTTTTAGTACACTAAGTTCTGATCAATTTTTTTTCTGTCAAAGCATGTCCTATACCCAATGGTTATTTGCTACCATTTTCAGAGAAATTCTAGATTCCAAAGTAATATCACATTTTTTGTTTACAGTCCTGATCAAATACTGCCCTTAAACAGGATAGCCAAATTACCATGATTCCAAGGCCACAAAGCTGAATTTTCAGAAGTGAGAGATCATTGCTGCTGCTTCTCCTGTCCATCGTACCTCCTTAAACACATTAAATTATAGTCATGGACACTTGGCAATCTCACAATTGCCCTTCAAGTAATCCCACCTTGATTACAGGTACTTAAATCTCTCCAAGTTTTCCTCAAAATAAAATAGCACAACTACTTACATATATGTCTGTAGTTTGCTATTCTCATGGCTACAAAATTGTTTCAGAAAGATGGGCATAAAATATGGAAAGAATATTGGAAAAAAGTCAAAAATGGCCACTCTGGCCATTTCCCCATAACCTGGAACCATTATCTTGAAGAAAAGGTCAATAAAGAGAAAAGTCAAACCATTATCTTGAAGAGAAGGTCACTCAGTAAATAAAACCATTTCATTCTACATGTTTTTGCTCTACTGGGAAAGGAAAGGAAAAAAAGAAAGAAAAAAAGGGAGAGAGAGAGAGAAAGAAAAAGATAGAAAAAAGAAAGAAGAAAGAGAGAGGGAGAGAGAGAGAGGAAAGAGAAGAAAGAGAAAGAAATACATAAAATAATTCCTTTTTTTTTTCCATTTGCTAGTAACTATACATTAGGAAATAAAGTCTGAAATCAGTATTTGTTTTCTGACTTAAGCAAGGGCTGGAAAAATGTCGCCAAGATACAAGGGCATACATTCAAGAATTCCAGGAATTCTCTAAGAAGGTCTCTGCGGACCTGGAGAGATGCCACCTTTATAAGACTGAATATAAGAGTGAAGTGGATCACTTGGGGGGAAGAGTTGAAAGAGCCCAACGTGAAATTGACTACCTAGAATACATTAGGACATCTGAGACATGTATAGAAGAGGATAAGATGATGATGGAAAAGCAGATAAAAGACTCTGAAGAAGAGCAAAAGGTCAGGACTCTCCTTAATACAAGTAAGAAAGATTTATCTTTTCTAAACCTTCTGCACCAGGTTCCCACTCTGGGGTGGGGGAAGGGCTCTCTGCACATAAACTTAAAACAGGGGTTTGTTGACCTCTTTGGTGTCATGGACCCCTTTGGTAATCTGGTGATGCCCATGGACTCCTCAGAATAATCTTTTAAAATACAAATACACAAAATAAAATACATAAGATTACAAAGGAAACCAATTATATTGAAATAGTTATTAATTGTTTTTAAATCCATTTGTGGATTGCAGATTAAGAACCACTGAGTTAGAGTGATAACTAAGATGGGCAACCAGACTTTTGCCATAGGACTCCTAGTTTAAAGAGTGCTAACAGCATTTACAATGCTTTGGTTTACTAAGGTGAACTCCTCCCTCCTGTGACAATGTTCCCCTTACTCCCCAGTACCAATGCCCTAGGGTCTCTGTGTCTCTACCACAAGGCACGTTCTGGCCAACACATTCCTCAACTGAACATGCTTTTTATGTTACTTGCCCCAGGCATAAACATTTTTAGTTACAGCGCTACCTAAAGTACTGAATGGGCAGAATAGCTCTGGTCTTTAAAAAGGTAAAAATACATACGTAAAGGAACACATGCATATACAGAGGAACATAAAATGGGTCATTCGCATGTGTGCATACATTGGTCACCTCTAAGAAAGCAGCATTTCCACAGAAATGTAATTATCAAAAGATCCCAGGCCAGCCACACAGCAGCAGATGTTCCCTAGCTGACTGAGCTCCAGGAAAGTGGGTCACACCTTCCGCCTGGTTACAACTTTCAGAAAGGATAGAGGGATGATTTAATCTCCCAGTACAGAGAAGACAAGAAACTGTCTTAGCAGCAAGGAAAAGGCAGCTTTCAATGGAAAAGTCAGAAAATAAGGTGCTCAGGAGAACAGCAATAAACAGTTCATGGCTTCTAATGAGAACTCAGTTTGTATTTTATTTAGCCTGTTTATACAGCTTTTGAGCATGGTTAAACCAACCAGAAAGGGCTAAGATTATAAACTGGGTCAGGCACTTGAATTCTATAACCCAATTTCACACTCAAGGCTATGCCATTAATAATATTTACAAACGTACACAATAAAAATAAGCCCTGTTTTTGTGTGAAATGAGGGGACTGGATTGGGTGACATCTAAGGTCCTTCCCATGTTTAAATCAATGATCCCATGAGACTAATGGAATTAAATAACTTCACATGTTTACATTAACCTTCCATTGTGACATGAGAGGATGCAATACATATATTAGAACCCATTCATGGAATTGGGATTATTTGCAAATTAGTGTACCCAAGTACTAACAAGCAAGGGTTGAATTGGGTCTGCCCAAAATAGCTAACAAGCAACTAGATGGCTCATTGGATTGAGTGCTGGGCCTGGAGTCAGGAAGACCAACGTTCGAATCTGGCCTCAGACACTAGCTGTGAGACCCTGGACAAATCACCTAATCTCTAGTTACTTTAACATACCAGAGAAGGAAATGGCAAACCACTCCAGTATCTTTGCAAGAAAATCCTATGTACAGTATGGTCCGTGGGATCATGAAGAGTTGGACACAACTAAACAACAGCGACAAAAATAGCTAACTCCAATTTAAAATTTTATTTTATTTTTAT